AATTACAACTTACATGGAGTTTCAAGTTGTTCGAACATGCGGACGGCCAGTCTGAAAAAATCAAGGACCTCAAGGCCAGTCTGTGGATGAGCAATATGTTTGTCGTATTGAGTCTTCCAAAAGGACCACGGTTTCCTCCTGCGTGGCGGCCTCAGATCTGGCCAATAGAGTTTCAGCTTCGCCACGAATGCGGGACCCCCTTTTTGCACCTCCTTCCTAAAGTCCGCCACTTGATCCCAGTGATCCCATAGTGGAGCTGGTTACCGGATTTTGTGGGATCCCGTACGCCGTGAATTGAGAATTCATGAGGGTAACTAAGCAGGACGTAATCTGGATAAGTCGGATCATTGGTATGCAGGTCGTTCATCTTCATTCCAAATACTGCCTTATTTTGTAGAACCATATCAAGTGCAGCCAATGGGTATCCAGGGAATATGGGAGGTACCTCAACAACATAAAGAGCAAAGAGAGATTAAGTAACAACATTAAGAGAATAGATAAATACACAGTTCCGAAAAAAGATATACTTGAGACATTTGGATTCTCTGTCTTGTTCAGTGATTCTGTCTTCTTCAACCCACTTCTGATTTAACCTGGCAGCAACATTTTGGGACAATTAATAAAAATTAGCCCTAATTAAGAGGGAAAAGGTGGATCATCTATGCAATCTACTACGAATCAATATATCCAACACGAAATGCAGCTTTTACAACCAATCCAAAAATATCATAGTAGAATCTGCAAACAACCGTTTCATAAAGTAGAAAGACGAATAGATGGATTTAAAAATTTATATACCTAAGCACCTTAATCAAATCACTTGTTTCCCCTGAAATATGCATATGCTATACTTTCTGAAGTATCCATAAGCTCAACAGTGTCTCTAAGCAAAATAACGCGAATCCAACCAGGTAAAAGATCCCAACCAAAACATGGTCAGAGAACAAATCAATAGCTGCAGGGATACCCGTTAATGATCTCCCATGGAAGACAATTGGATGGGGGCAATTGCAGCAAGAATGCACAAACCAATGTAAAGCAAATAGAACGAGAAAAACCAGCTAAAATTCAGTGCGCTATCAGTCCTCATTGCACGATACAAAGGCCTGTACCACAATACATATGAAAGGGGACAACCCATCAGGGCATATATAATGGCAAGCACGAAGATCCTGACTCCTACGGGCAGAAACCATCATATTAAATGCTAACTCGTTATTTGATTATGATATGGCTGGTGTATATAACAAGTAAAATCCAACTATATTTAACCCACATGAAACCTTAAATCCCAAGTTTACAGAATCATCAATTACATCATATTACAGAATAGTAGGAGTGCACAGAGTACTAATTCTATTCTAACAGTTACAGTACTAATACATGATAACATGAACGATTTTTTTCTTTTTAGAAAATGCAGCAATTACCACGAGAATATGAGAGGGTCGAGTCGGAGGCGTGGAGCAGGAGAAGCTTTTGTGTCGAACTTTGGAGTGCGACGGGCGTGAGTCGTGAGGACTGAGGACTGAGGACTGAGGAGAAGCGACGGGGTGACGGGAGTGAGGAATGAGGAGAGGAGAGGCAACGGGGCGTGAGCCGCAAGAAGAGAGGCGAGGGGCGAGGGTCGAGGGGAGACGGGCGACGGCCGACGGCCGACGGTGTCAGAGAGAGAAAGTGATGAGGCAGTTATGCGAGTAATGAGCAAAAATAAACCCTAAAGTGTGTATTCAATTGGGATTTTAAATGACATTTTAATATTTCTTAAAATTTTACACTTTTAAAGATTTTCAATATATATATCTACTACCTCTTACTTTTTAAATGTCATTTTGACTTTATCAACAATTAACTAAATAAATAGCATGTTGGATCTTTTGTACATAGTTTTCCATTATTATAATAAATAAACTACGTTTTTTCATATTCACTCTTTATATTTTCTCAAACATCCATCTCCACATTCCAGCCACTGCCACTGTTAATCATCAGATCCTTGACAAGTGTTAGGTTATGCCCTTCTGCAGTTCTTTGTGGAGGAAGAACTCCCAATCTAGGGACCCAGCCATGGTCTTGTATCTTTGTTTCTTGTCCACTTCTGATTTCTTTCCAAATTCCTTGTTTAAAAGTAGGAAGTAGAGCTAGCCAGTTATTCCACATCCAGGATGCAGGTGGTTTCTTTTTTGCTTAAAAAATGGATGATTTTGGGAAGTAATTGACTTGCAGCAGTTTACTAACCAAAAGTTGGGGATTTTTGGTGATCCTCCAGAGTTGCTTGAGAATGAGAGACTTGTTCAAGAGACTGAAATCTTGAAAGCCTAAACCACCATTCTGTTTGCGAATAGAAAGTAGTTTCCAGCTTTTCCAGTGTAGCCTTTTTTTCATTTCTTTGCCCTTGCTCCACCAGAAATGGGATCTTAGCTAGATCCTTGCATGTACCAGCTGGTAACATGAAGCAGGACATTGCATAGACATGTAAAGAGTTAAGGACAACCTTTATGAGGATCTCTTTTCCTGCAGTGGAGAGGTACTTGTTTTTCCAGTTTACCAGTCTCTTTCTTGCTGTTTGCAACACATAGTCAAAGGCTTCCTTCTTGGACCTTCCTATCCCCATAGGAAGTCCAAGGTACCTAGTTGATGAGTGAGGGGTGATGCCTTCGAGGATGTGACAGATGCTCCCTTTGGTGTTGTTATCGGTGTTCTTGCTAAAGAAGATAGTGGATTTAGACATGTTGACACTTTGCCATGAGAAGAGGTGGTATTTTCTGAGAATATCCCTGAGGTGCAATGCCTGGTCAGAAGTGGCTTTGCAGAACACCAATGAGTCATCTGTAAAGAGCAGATGGGAGAGGGTAGGGCCATCTCTTGCAGTTCTTAATCCTTTGAAAGTACCCACAGCAATAGCAGAGTGAATGAGAGCAGAGAAAGCCTGTGAGACAATGAGGAATAAGTAGGGGGATAGGGGATCCTCCTGCCTTAATCCCCTTGAAGGTTTTAGGTAGCCCACAGGTTCTCCATTTACCATGAAAGAGAATGAGGTGGTTGTGATGCAAGCAAATATCCACTTGATGAATGAAGAGTCAAATCCCATTTTTAGCATGATATCTCTGATACAACTCCATTCCACTCGGTCAAATGCTTTCAGCATGTCTAACTTCAGTGCCATAAAGCAATGAGGCCCTGTTCTGTGCCTGTTAAGGTAGTCGAAGGCCTCCTGAGCAATGATTATGTTATCCAAAATGTTCCTCCCTGGAAGGAAAGCTCCTTGAGCTTGACTGATGCAGGAGTTTAAGAATTCTTTTAATCTAGTTGCCAGGACCTTAGAAATCATCTTGTAGACCACCCCATACAGACTTATGGGTCTGAACTGAGTGATTAAAGTGGGGTTCAGACATTTAGGCACCAAAGTAACTAGGGTGTGATTCCAGTACCTTAGGATTTGACTAGAGGAAAAAAAAGCTGTAAACTGCTGCACAAAGGTCTTCTTTGACAATGGGCCAGAAGTGTTGGAAGAATAATGATGTCATTCCATCCTCTCCAGGAGCCTTTAGAGGATTCATCGAGAATAAAGCCTTTTGGATTTCAGCTTCTGAAATAGGTGTGAGTAGGGCTTCATTCATGTCTGCTGAGATTGAATGGGGGATGTGCTGAGTAATGTATGACGAACCTTGTGAGCCCCTGATGTAAAAAGATGTTGATAGTAGCTGGAATTTTCTTTGGCTATCTCCTCCTAGGTGTCACAGACTCTGTTGTCAGCAGTAATAAGTCTAGAGATTGCATTTCTTTTTCTTCTTTGCATAGCATATGCATGAAAAAAGCTAGTGTTTTGATCTCCATCTCTCAGCCATAGCACGCTTGACTTTTGCTGCCAATATAGTTCTTCTGTGGTTTGAGCCTGTTCTAGCTCCTTTCTAATAGTTTCCCATTCTTCTAAGTTTTTTCCTTCACCCATTTGTCTCATTTCTTCCAACTTCAATGTAAGAGACTCCATTTTCTGCTTCTGCTCTGATCTGAAGAATTTGCTCCATTTAGAGAGAGCTAGTCTAGTTTGCTTAATTTGTTCTTTGAGCCTGAAGAAGGGTGTGCCTTGTTGAGGGATAGACCATGCATTTTGCACCTATTCCTTACAACCTGCCCTTTGGAGCCACCTTTTGTCAAAGGTGAATCTTCTGGGTTTCTTGACTGTATGGACTTTGTCATCTAACAAAAGAACTCCATGGTCAGAAGCACTTCTGTAAAGGTTGGCAATCTGAGCTTGTGGGAATTTAGACATCCAAAAAAGAGAACCAAAGCCTCTGTCAAGCTATTTCTTCAACATAGCCTTCTTGGTCTCTATTGTTACCCCCAAGTGTAGTGATAGCCTGTCATTGGGATTTCATCCATCCCCATTGAAGAGATGAAGCTATTGAATGCAAGGAAGCTGTTAGCAGGTCTCAGCTTGCCTCCTCTTTTATCCTCTTGAGCTGTGATGTCATTCCAATCCCCTAAGATAGTCCAATAGTCACCCCAATCATGCTTATCCTGCTCTAGCAGCCTCCATTGGTTAGTTCTGATGGTTTTGTCTGTGTTCATGTAGACAAAGGAGATCCAACAGGGTAATTCAGATTGGATCATTGAGAATTGGACTTGGATGCAAAATTTTGTGCTTCTGATATTCAAAATCTGGGGATCAGAGTCCCATAATAGCAAAAGCCCACCTTTGGTGCCCAAAGGTTCCACAAAATAATTTATGTCCTCAAAACCTAGTTTTCTGCATACCTCCATAGAGATTTTTTTTGTTTTTTAATTTCAAACAGGAAAATAAAGTTTGGATGGTGAGATTGAATAATCTCTCTTATCTGGGATACTGTAGAGGGCCCACCAGACCTCTACAGTTCCACACCATAGCTTTCATTGGGGGGTTGGGGCCAATTATGGCTGGCTGCCTCCACCTTGTCCTTTGAAAGTTTTGGTTTTTTGAATGTCATCTGCTTAGCCTCATGTACTATAACAGTTGTTTTTTAGCTCTCTTCTTTGGTTCTCTTGTTGTGCTTGGGAGAAGGAATGACTTGTGTTGTTTCACTTTCTCTGGCCAGTCTGCAAACTTTTGAAGCTGCTCTCTTCCATGTCTTCCCTTGGACTAGTTTGATAGTCAAAGCAGGAGGTGCATAACCCTTTTCTATCTGCATGGCCATATATCCTTCCATGGGTACAGCTTGGACCTCTAAGGGTGGTTGGGTGCTGGAGTTGCTTTCCTGAATAGTGTGCATCACTGCTACTAATTCTTTACCTTTAGAAGACTGGTTAGATATGTGATAGGAAGCTGATGAATCTTCAATCCCTTATGAGTTAGGTTCACGAACATTGTTGAGTTTTTGCAAAAGGAGGTTAATGTTGTTAGCTTCTAGGCCCTGGGAGTGTTGCTGTGGAAAGGAATCATTTTTGCCTTCAGTTGAAGTGCTATGGATAGTGTTTCCTTCTTCCTGCGGTTGGGAGTATGTGCTATTTGTTGGAGAACTAGATATAATTGTACCTTCTAAAGCCTTCATCCATTCACCAAATAAACCTTCATTGAGAGAATTTGTAGCAAAGTCTTCCTCCTTATTTTAGGAACTTATTTAAATCACAAGTAAATAAATAGAAAACTTCCTTTTAATTTATTTTGCTTGCTTAACAAGAAATCTTCTAGAAAACACTTAGGTTTGTCGGACGATGCCAAACTGATATTCTTACAAGTATGATGCGATATTTGTCAACAGTTGATTTGTAAATGTGCTCTCCACTTGATAATGATGAAGGACATAAACTTGTCCATCCTTATGCTCGTCAATGAACTTGGGTATGTGAACAGGCCTTATGAGACAAGTTATCTGCCCACCCTTAAAAAAACGAATTATAATGCATCACATGAAAAAAAATTAATAATAGAAAGAAGTGACGAACCTCACTATCATGCAAAATTAACTCAATCACATTTTGTAAGAAATATTCTCGGACGATCTTTGAAACATGCTAATTATACGAAGCTTGAGCAGTAGCGTATTGGATCTCTTGATATTTCTAAAATGTGTTTCGTAAATAGAGTGTGTTGAACGCAATAATCATTGTTTACATTGGTCTTCTGAAATTGATTTATGTTTCATTTGTTAATTAGATCAATGCAAATATTTTTGGATATTTAGTTTATGTTTTTAATATTACATATCCAATTTTTTATTGGTAAGATTATAAAAAAAATTCAATTTCTCCGATTATTAGGAATGATAATCGTGCAAATTGGTTTTAATTTCTTAGGATATTATTTTAGAATTTTAATAAGATTACAATCAATTTTAGTTTTAATAAAAAAAAAAAAAACAAAAAACTTAAATTGTGCTACCTTATGGAATCAAATTTTATCATTTATATTAAAAAATAAGAATTGTAATCTAATATTTTTGTGCAAATGAAATTTATTTTCCTAAATGTAGTAGACGTTTTTTTTAGAATTTTATTTTTTTCAAATTACTATCAATATGAGTTTCAATATCTTCAAATTATGCTTATTTTAGGATTATTACATATTCGGTATTTAGTTGGTAAGATTATAAAAAAAATTCAATTGTCTTATTGTTAATTAGGTATGAAAATCGTGCAAATGAGTATTACTAAATCTAGGGTACTATTTTAGAATTTTAATAATGTTAATGATTATCAATTAGAGTTTAAAAAAACTTAAATTGTGCTACTTCATGGAATTTTAATAATGTTAATGATCACCTTGGGGTTGGTGATAGATGGTCCTCTGTGAAACTCAAGGTAAAAGTGGTGGTCTGCTTCTTATCTGGAATGATTCTTTCCATATGTTCAAAATAGTCAAGACACCCTTTTGTATTCCAGTAGAATTTTGGGATGAAGACAAAGTTAAAGTCTGTTGGGGGATTTTCTTGTATGCAAGCACATATAGCAAAGTAAGAATGATGTAGTGGGACTATCTCTTAGAATAACATGATTCTTGGGGTGATTACTAGTTTATTTGTGGTTATTAGAATGACATCACTACCCTTGAGGAGAAAAAATGAGGAATTTCAAGACCTCTATCTTCTTTTATATCTTTAAATAACTTCATCTCTCTGATGGGTATGTTAGATATTAGATGGACCGGGCATAAATACACTTGGGGAGACAATAGACAAGGTGAGGGGTATGTGGAAGAGCAACTGGATTGAGTTTTTGTCTCAATTGGGTGGATCTCTCTTTAACCTAATTCCCAAGTCTCTAATATCTTCAAGAGCTCCTCAGACCCCAGCCTCCTGCTCTTCAAGTCCAATCCAGATCTCAAACCCTGCAAAAAGAGATTCTTCTTTGACAAAAGATGGCTCCATAAAGAAGGTATTTCTGAAGTGGTGAAAGAAGCCTAGAATAGGAACCAATCAGAAACTCCAATGCATAAATTTCAAGCTAAGATAAAGGAGAATAGGATAAGCCTGCTGAAATGGATTAATTCTCTCAAATCAGACAATGCTGAAAAAATTGAGGTGTTCCATAGGCAACTTGTTGGACTAAGATGGGAGGGTAGCCTGAGGAATTGGGCACTGTGGGATAAACTTCAAAAAGAACTCAACTCAGCCCGTAAGTTTGAAGAACAGTATTGGCACCAAAAAGCTCGAATTGATTGGCTCAAGTATGGTGACAAGAACACCAAATACTTCCATGCCAAAACTGCCCAAAGGAGGAAGACAAATCATGTTTCCAGATTTATAAGAAATGACCTAATTGTGTGAAACCAGAGATGAAATAGCTCATTGTATTGAAGAGTTTTATGCAGACTTGTTCACCTCCTAAGGACCTGGTTGAGATGAAAATGTTCTAGAAGGTCTGCTCCCTGTTATCACTGTTTAAATGAAAACTGAGTTGATAAATCCAGTGGATGAGAAAAAAGTTAAAGAAGCTCTATTCTCAATTTCCCCTCACAAAACACCTAAGCAGGATGGTATGACATCTGCTTTCTTTCAATGTTTTTGGACAATCATTAAAACTGATTTGTTCTCTATGGTTTTTAGTTTTTTTAAGTTTGGTTTTATTCCAATAATCATAAATCACATAATGGTCACTCTTATTCCAAAAGTTCTTAATCCTGAAAAAGTCTCTCAATTCAGACCCATAAGTCTGTGCAGTATAGCTTACAAGGTCATTTTAAAAATCCTCAGAAAAGCTCAAGCCTGTCTAGATCACTGCATTTCTGAAAACCAATAAGCCTTTTTGCCTTTAAGACTTATCCTTGATAATGTAATTATAGTCCATGAAGCTTTGCATTTTCTCAATACACATAGGAATGGGAACTCTTTCTACGTGGCCATTAAGCTTGATATGGCCAAAGTATTGATAAAGTGAAATGGCATTGTGTTAGACTAAACATGTTAAAATTTGGGTTAAATGCTACCTTTGGAATGTGGATCCGAAAACAAACCTCCTCAAAATACCTTGGATTACATATGGGTATAGAAAAATAAAATATTCTAACAATTTCTTATATTGAAGAAGCTGTTAAAAAAAGGCTCTCATCTTGGAAAAACAAGTTTTTGTCTTCTGCAGGTAAGGAAATCATATTGAAGTCTATGTTATAAGTACTACCAATCTATGCAATGTCCTTCTTCCTTCTTCTAAAGAAGTTCAGCTCAAAATTGGCTAGAATCTTTGCATCTTTCTGGTGGGATCAGAACCAGAACCAATATGATTCCATCCACTAAAAATCTTGGGATTTGCTTACTCTGCCTAAAGATAAAGGAGGTTTGGGGTTTCATAATATACACCTTATGAACATAGTACTTATCTCAAAGAAGTTATGAAGGATTCTCAATAACCCTGATCATCTTGTCAGCAAAATTGTGAAGGCCAGATATTTACCAAATGGAACCATTATGTCAGCTCAGAAAAAGCAAAGTGGCTCCTGGCTTTGGACCAACTGGATGAATGCCAAGTGTGATTTCACCATAGGAGCTAGATACTAAGTCAAATCAGGAGCTACAGTTAACATCTGGACTCACCCTTGGATCCCTAATCTAAAAAGGGTTCAAACCTAGCTCTGATAACCCTAGAAAGCAAGATCTTACCTGGGTTTGTGAACTCTTTGATGACTTTGGCCGGAATTGGAATGTTAGCTTGTTCAGAGTGTTGTTGTATATACTGAAACCTTGGCTTTAGATGTATTTACACTTAACCCGTTTGAATGAGAATCATGTTTAATTGAACATTTTATGTTCTGTTGTTTTGCACTTAATGGGTCGTCATCGGGTGAACAGAAGATCATTCTATCAGTTACTTGTGAAACAAGAATTTGTGGTTCACAACCTAGATGGAAATGAACACCCCATTCGAACGGTTGTAGTGTTAACCGTACAGTTAGTCTTGAATGATTAGTTACACTAGTACACTTTGTGTATTAAACGAATCCTAGAGAGGAGAAGTTCATTTTATACTGATTATCGTAAATGAACTAGGCCTCAGTTAATTACTGCGTACTCTTAACCCGTAAGATATAAACAGGCATGTGCATGCAATTAATATTACTTTGATTCACTTGGGTGAGATTCGGTTTACTGGATCAATAAACTTAATGTTTTGGGTTGTATTATTGTATGTACGATGTACTGTTAGAATATTTACGGCCACCGTGTGCGATAGTTTGATGGTGTCCCCGAAATGAAGGATTATTATGTTAAATGTGGCCAGTGGAATTTATTCCGACAAAATAATAATGTGATGAGTGGTACTATCTCGGTTATAGATGTCGATTATTATAATTGTCAGTAATTAAATTAATTGATGACATTATATCTTAAACACGGGGAGGTAATTCGAATAATTATTATTGGAGACTCGAATATAATTTGAGAATTAAATTGAGAGTTTATTCAATAATACTACTTTAGTGGAATGTACAGATTATTCCTATTTGGGTTTGGTAAGCTTGGTCTATAGTCTAATCCAAATAGGAGAAGCCCAATTTAATACATCCATAGGGTCCCTGTTGTAGCCTATAAATACTTCACATCTCTTAGTATTAGGAGACTAATTAAGAGAACAGAAAAACACGCCCCAAACAGATGAGAGACGTCGCCCCTTTTTGATCTCTTCTCTCTCTTGTGTTCTCTTCTTCTTCTCTAAGTAATTCCAATAGAGATATCTTCGATCTATCGCCCACCAAGATGATCGGATGAGATGTCGGGTAATACAACAGAAGATCTGAGGTTGTCGAGTGATCTGTATATATTTATCCAACCTCGTAATATATATATTCTACCCCGTAATGTTTCTGTAACTCGCGGGGTTGTCCGTTCTTCACAAAAAGACAGATTTATGTATACCAGATGTATTGGGACTGACCGCCAACCTTCGACGACCATCCAACAACGATCGGCACACTTTCGGTGACCAGCCGCGGCCGTGCCGGACCAGCACGCGCCGCCACGGCGTGGCTGGAGGATTTCCTCACGCGCCCAGCACATCCAGCTCGCCAGTCCACCATAGTACGCATGGCCCAACAGCGAGGAAGCCTACAGTTCGCGTG